CCATCAACCAGGTTCTACTCAGTTCTCAAAGCGTCATCTTGGTGTGCCAAGATCACCCTGGTATGCTCAAGCACAACCAATATGGACAGCTTCCTTCAGACAGCAATGCTGTGAATAGTGATGGAAGTGACAGAGGGAGGACATCAGATGATGAGCGAATGCACATGCACGAAGGGAACACTGCCAACATAAGGGAAAACAGGCGTATGTCTGTTGCTTTTTGTCACCAACCTTTGGGGAGACTGCAGAGTCAACACAGTGGCCACCTTGATAGTATGGCACCTCATTATTGGCCAATTACAAGTGCAGGAATATCGGCAGGAAACAACGTGAGAAATGGTCTAGATAGCCGCATGAGCTATTCTCTTGTGCAAAGCCATCATGTATCTGTTCAGGATTGCTCGGGATTCGCTTTGGGGCATAATGGTTATTCTGTGTATGCTCCTGGTCAGCAGCCTTAGATGATAGCCTGCCGTCCCTGTCATTCGAACTGCTCCTTTTTCACCCTAAGAAAACTTGATTACTCTTGGATCTTTTGAGATGCATTTTTCATTTTAACTGGGCATTTATCATTGTCTATCGTCGTGCTATCAGGCTAATTTCAATCGTAGCCTGCTGCCATTCTTTGATGTTGCTCTCATGTTCTGAACTTTGTGAATGTTGTAGTGTACTTGTGGCTATGATTCGAAGATGTTTAATGCAGGTTACGAAAACCAACAAACGTTTTAATTGAGATAATTACAGACTTAAGGGGGAGTTGTGTCATTGGACATGCTTCTGGAACATCCAGAATCGAAAACTTCGAACATGAAAACTTGTAGGATATGGAGCAACTCATAAAACGATGGAGACTAGGTACAATTCAAAATACTACAAAATCGCGCAGACATGTTCTTGAAATCGAGTATACTCGAGGACTTGGACTTGTGCTTGGACTTGGAATTCCGATACGCAGTCAACTGCTACAGTCACGGTAATGTGAAGCGTCTCTTTATCGTGCAAACTCAATTACACAGGTACTGCGCTTCAATTTTATCGTCTTGATAGACTGGACGTATTAAACAAACAAGTCCAAGGTACCATTGTTGAACGTTGTTGGATGCACACGCCTGAACACAACATTCTTCTTCTACTTCAAGAACTAAGAAGACATTAGAATAATTATGGACACATTAGAATAACTATGGACCCTTAAACATGTGTGTGGCTTCTTTGTTCATATGAACATAACATTCTTCTACATTTTCAAGAGCAAAGCAGACACATTAGAATATCTATAAGTCCTTAAACATGTATGTAGCATTTTTGTTTATAGTAGTTGGCAATTGTTGTTGATGTTAATTGTTGATGTTAATGCATCACTAGCTAATGATGTTGTGTCTTTTCAAAGTCTCATCACTTGCTTTGCTTGCACTACATTTGAAAGAATGTGTTTTTAGTTGCAACAATTATGTAAACATAGACAAATAATCCAAGCTCTTCAAAGCATAAACAAGTGTTTCTTGTGTAGATATAATCAAATAATTCCATCTTTTGTAGACTAAGCAAATAGTATGTTTCAAATGTTTTGCATCAATAGCTAGTGATTTTTCATACAATTATGGAGAATTATTATTATTATTATTATTTTTGTAAAAGATAGATGTACTATTAAATAGAGATCATGTTATAACACAAATTGATTATGGTGGAGTATTGCTATAAATAAGCCAACCAAATTCAAATACTACTTAATCAAAACAGGGTTTGGACAAAAAAGTGTCTATTTAATATCCTCTTCTTATAAGGTAGTCGTGTGGTAATTCAACTAAGAGTGGACACAAAAAAGACATATGTTTAAATTAGATTAGACTATGTGCACAAATTATGTTAACCATTATAGGCTCAATAGTGAATATAACTATAGAGTAAAAACATGTACTAGGGACAATAAGATATATAAGAGGCTATAAGATATAATTAATTGTTTCAAAAATGGTGAGTTTATATGTAATATTGGGATGAAGCATGGAATATTAGAGAGCTTTCTATGCAACATGAGAAGTAGACACTAACATCTACCTTCTCCAAAATTGATCATGTAGCACTTTATTATGTTGGTGTATTTTCAGCCATATTATTAGTATTCTTGTACATTGTTGATTTTGATCTATTGATTTGGATATGAAACAAATGCAAATAGTCCAAGTCCAAGTCCAAGCACAAGTCCAAGTCCTCGAGTATACTCGATTTCAAGAACATGTCTGCGCGATTTTGTAGTATTTTGAATTGTACCTAGTCTCCATCGTTTTATGAGTTGCTCCATATCCTACAAGTTTTCATGTTCGAAGTTTTCGATTCTGGATGTTCCAGAAGCATGTCCAATGACACAACTCCCCCTTAAGTCTGTAATTATCTCAATTAAAACGTTTGTTGGTTTTCGTAACCTGCATTAAACATCTTCGAATCATAGCCACAAGTACACTACAACATTCACAAAGTTCAGAACATGAGAGCAACATCAAAGAATGGCAGCAGGCTACGATTGAAATTAGCCTGATAGCACGACGATAGACAATGATAAATGCCCAGTTAAAATGAAAAATGCATCTCAAAAGATCCAAGAGTAATCAAGTTTTCTTAGGGTGAAAAAGGAGCAGTTCGAATGACAGGGACGGCAGGCTATCATCTAAGGCTGCTGACCAGGAGCATACACAGAATAACCATTATGCCCCAAAGCGAATCCCGAGCAATCCTGAACAGATACATGATGGCTTTGCACAAGAGAATAGCTCATGCGGCTATCTAGACCATTTCTCACGTTGTTTCCTGCCGATATTCCTGCACTTGTAATTGGCCAATAATGAGGTGCCATACTATCAAGGTGGCCACTGTGTTGACTCTGCAGTCTCCCCAAAGGTTGGTGACAAAAAGCAACAGACATACGCCTGTTTTCCCTTATGTTGGCAGTGTTCCCTTCGTGCATGTGCATTCGCTCATCATCTGATGTCCTCCCTCTGTCACTTCCATCACTATTCACAGCATTGCTGTCTGAAGGAAGCTGGCCATATTGGTTGTGCTTGAGCATACCAGGGTGACTTGGCACACCAAGATGACGGTTGGAGAACGGAGTAGACCCTGGTTGATGGAGCATCGCACTTAGTGCCAACCCAAAGCATCCTTGATCGTCCTCTAACAAATCATTAATAATGTCAAGGTGTGGGAATTCTTCTGCCATAACTCCTCCATTATTAACGGATTCCATTAAGGATATCATGCTATGCCTCTCCCCACTTAAAACCCCATTTTCATGTAACAGGCTTGAATGGACAGGCCTTTGATGGGCTTGTTGCCCATAAGAGTGATGTCTTGAAAGGCCCTCCTGAAAAATTAGGTTCTCTTGCTTGTGAAGTTCCATGGATTCTTGTTTGAGAAGTGGCAATGTCTGAAATTGTGGATGTGCCCTCTCATCCTTCTGCCGTGGTTGCGCACGCTCTTGTTCCCCCTCATCCCCTTCTTCCTCCTGCTGCTGATGCAGCACCTCCGGAGTCACAGTCCCAAAAGTGATGCCGGCTGGTGATCGCCTCCCACTTGCAACGCTCTGGCTACAGCTGTACTCTTGTAGGAGCAAATCGTTTGACAAGGACTCTGGTAAACCCTGCGAAATCACGGGAGATTGCAGAGCCACTGGTGCGGCCGACGGGGAGGCAGCTGCCTCTGTCCGTCCACTTTGGGTACCCTGCATGGATCCTATCCGCATCTTGGAAGGTGTCAGAGGAGGAGAGGACGCTGAAGCTGTAGGTGCAGCTGAACATACTGATGGAGCACTTGCGTGGGATGCGCTTGGCGTTGCGGGAGTGTTAAAAAGCACAGCTGAAGTTGCTGCTCCTGACACGGAAGGTGAAACTCCACCGTGCACACCTCCAGAACTTGCAACAGGATGTAAAGCTAAACCTCCTAAACTTTTTATTCTCCCGGCAGCAGCATTTCTGTATGAAGGAGACACTGGAGGGCTAATATGCGTATTTCCATTACAATGGGCTCCTACAGAAGATCCTGCACCCAAGACCAATCGGCCTGCTGCACTCACAGATCGCGATAGCGGAGGTTGAGCTTGCAAAATAGGGCCTAGACTGCCTGGTCTCTGAGGAGGTACCAAACCAGGTGCACTTGCAGGACGTGAAATCACAGGTAAAGTTGCAGAAAAGGTGGCGGAATAGCTTGAACTTGTTTCTTCTACCCCAGCGGCCAAACTAGCTCCTGATGATGATGGAGGCATGCCTACACGAGGCGGCCTGGACACTTCAATGCAGCGGGTTTTTGCTGAGGCAGATGGTCTGGGCGTGCCAACTTCCACTTCAGCTGAATTCAGACCATGCCTGCTACTACTGTCAACATTGTTCCCTGCAAAAGGTAGAAACCACTTGCTATTGTTGTCTCCGTTATAAACTGCACCACCTGCAGCTGTTCCGTTGCCACTGAATATTGGTGAATGATCATTTGCGTTATTCGTACTTGCCGTTGTTTTGCTTGATCTAATCTGTTGGCCAGTTAACTTTTCCACATCAGGGGTTGCAGAGGAAAAGCCGCTGCTACTTTCATCGGCTGGTGAGGAACTTGGGGCACTCGACGCACCACTAGGTCTAGATCCTACAGAAGCTTCTTCTGGCAGACTAATATGAGAAGAGGGTCTGTCTAGTCTCATTTGATGTTGGAACAGGCTAACCTGCTCCTGTAGCATTACAACCTCCTCATCCTGCATATGAAACCATATGAAGGAAGCTATTAAAAAATTATCTAATTAGTTTTAATTTTAATTTAAAAACAAAACAAAACAAAACAAGAAGAGTGCCGCCTCTGACCTGTGTAAGGAGACCCGAACTAGAGGATCCTCCCTTCACTCTGAACCAAACATGACGAGTAGAGGACGTCCGACACAAAAGAATTGAACAAGAGCAGTACATTTGCTAGGGAAACTTATTCGCCCATATACCTTTTCACAAAGACGTTGCTCAAGCCACCGTACACGCTCCCTAAGTGAAAGAATCACAGTCTCATTATCCACCCCTGCAGAACTGCAACTGCTGCTAGCTTCACCAGGACCACTGGGATCCAGAGCAGTCGCACGCATGATGGTACCATCAGCTTCTAAAAACCTCCCATCCTGTTCATATCCATCGCTATCTCCTCTACTCCTGGCTCTGTACAATACGAGCAATAGCAAGCAGTGAGCACACACAATCATAAGCACGAGAATGATGGGTACTAAGCAACGTTTTAACAGACCCTAAACCTGTTGAAATCTGCTTTTCGACATCGTACATGCTCTAGCCGCGACTACTAGATAAACCCCTCGCTGACAAGATGCCAAACAATCTGCAGACGTAAATCAATCCCTCGAGGAATCCAAGAGAAAAGCTCACCTCGTGAGAACGGCGTGATTCTGATCGGACAAGCCTGGTCGCATGCTATATGTTCCACCATTCATAGAGGGTCTCACTGAAGGAAGAGAGTCAGACGAGCATGTAGAGGAACTATCGTCTAATGCAGATGCCTGATTCTTTCGTGCCGCTCTACCATTACGTGCCGAACTTTCTTCATGTGCCCCGCTGAATCCAGCAGCCTCCATGCCGCTATGACCGTATGATGCATCTCTTTCCCAGGTAGTGTGATCCACATCGCAATCCTCGCCCGCAAGTCCCAGGGTACCAACAACGTCATCCGTTGCATCTAATCCACTGAGGTGATCTACTTCCCCAGCATCTGCCGGAACGAGTGAAATAATTCCTCTCCCCTTTGACATTCGTTCCTTGGGTCTAGAAGACTCAGATTGACGTTGACGATTTTCTTGTTCTACCCGCGCACGTTTTTCTTCAGCTTCTTTGTCTTTGTCCTTGCGATCCTTCCTCCTTTGCTTTGCCTGAAGGGAAGAAGCTTGATCAGTTTCATTTATAGAAAATAATGGTGATGAAACGCGGCCTCATCAATGAATCTAGAATACAAACGACAATGCAAACTACCCAAAGTAAAATCGTAACCAGAAAATAAAAACTGGAAAAGGGTGAAACCCCTGAAGAAACTAAATGAACATTAGGGTTGCCAGCTGTTGCAGATAGGCCAAGAGACCACAGATAAAAACCAGGCAATCTCCTAATACTGCTACGATTGAAAAAGTGCTTCGACAGATCCGACCTGTTTTTTCTTTGACCGCTTCTCTTTCTCAGCTGCCTCCCGTTTAGCTCGAAGTTCAGTTTCGGCTAGCCCAGCAGCCTCCTCCTCACGAATAAGCTCTTCTTGCCTCTTCAATGCAACTGCTTCTCTGTAAGCGACCTCTACACGATTGCTGTATCACACCAAACAGCAATTAAAGCCAAAGAGCCCCTCAAAATACATAAATTTTAAAAACAGATGTAGCATATCCGCTTATTGACCATCCACGCTGTGATATGTGTGGTGTGCCGTGTTACCATGCACCTGACACTTCACCTCTCAACTCACAAACACAATCCCATTGATACCTCAAAATTGCTTGAAAGCATCGCCAGAATCAGTACGAGAGTGTCACATCGAGGGTACAAAAGCGCTTCGAAGTGAAAAAGTTATACAAGACCTTACTCCATGCGTGCGCTTACTGAACGCTCTACTAGCCCATTGACGGGCGCTAATGTTTGGTCATTCAAAATAAACCTCGCCTTAGCGAATCATCTGTGTCGTAAAATGTCATTTGTTTATTTGTTTACTTTAAAATAAAGCGTTCGTTGTCGCACGTATTATTCCAGAGCTACAGACACTCTCAATTGCTTCAAACTGCTCTCTGCCGAGATACACGACAACCCTTCAGGGCCCGAACTACAAGTCATAAGCTCCGTGATTTGGCGTCAGACAATCAAAATGACATACTTGTTCGAGAAAGTAACAAAAAGAAGGGAAAAAAGAAAAAGAAAAAGAAGCAGGAACATATTGCCTAGTGGAAGTAAAAATGATGGAACCACATACGTGTATAGATGAGCCAGAACAAACATTTCAACAGTTCGTCTACCGAGTTCAGTTAATCGCCGTTCGTCACGCTCCACTGAGTCTTTACCAAAATCATCACCGGAGCTCCCATCCTGCAACTGTCGAAAGCAATAAGACCTCGACTCCGATTACAAGACAGAGAGCCGTTCCTGAAACAGCACCAAAACTTCAAACAAAAGCAATCTATTTAACCCAGGCTAGCATGAATGAGCTGAGCAAAGCAAAGTACAAACCTTGGTTCGGTTTTGCGGTCCCTTGTCATCCTTGTAATGGGGCAAAGTTTCAGAGACCACCCGCTCAAGTAGGAGCAGCACGTCACCAGCAAGAACAAAAACATCCTTCTCCACCCATACTATGGGGTTAATGGCTTCCTCCACGTCCACGCCGCTAACTTTACCATTCTTGCTCCGGCTCCTATAGTCCAGTGATTTGCATCCACTATAAAGTGCGTCCATAACTAATGTTGATGTCACCTCCTTCTCGTTGAAAAAACGCTTCACCACAGCTTTCAAAATCACATCTGTCTTCTCTCGTGCGAGGCGCCGACGAGTGCCTTCTTCAACAGCTGACCAAAACGCTTGAAAACTGCACCAACATGCAGGTTTCAGCTTTGATCATCAACCAAGTCTTCAACGGTTCCCGATAGCCGAAAACAGGACTAAGCACTGAGAAATCCTAAGCTTCAATTCCTTTTCTCAGAAACTTAACCAAAAAAACCATTCATTCACACACAGAAAAACCCATCACGCAATGCCTTACGAGGTTGTCAGGATTACCTGTTCCATCGAGCTGTGTCTTCCATAAGCTTCCCAAGTTTTTCTCTTTTTTCTTCAACGAAGCGTCGGCAGATTCCTTCAACGTTCGTTAGATACACTCGAACAAGCTCCCTCCGATACTGACAATCTAGGCAGCGAAATGGGCGGTGGGGGTTTTCTCTGCAGATAAACGGAAACAAGATTGTAAGGGATGTCACGCCTCACAAGTGCATGGCACATCCTCAAAAGTCATAAATAAAAGGCCGAAAAGAACAGCGATTCACTGTCGTGTAAGAATTGCACGTATTCATTCCAGTAAAAAAAGACTTTGATTTGACTTTCAACAAAGAGCAGTTAAATCTAACAGATGGTCGATGCTCAAATCCTGTATTGACTGTCAACCATGTCCATCGTATAAAATTCATACCCAAGATAGCCTACCACCAGAAGCAAGATGAATAGCATACCTGATAACCTGTACTTGGGCCTTTATGACGAGAGTATCAGCAACTGTAAAACCATCTAAAACTTTGGAGAGCTCCATGAACTTCTTCCAACCCCAGTCGTGTTCTTTCTTACAGAACCGGTGTAAAGTGTCTGAAATCCTCCACACCATGCAATGATTACAATATTTTAAGCAGAGACTCGGCATAAACACCATGACACAACACGCTAGCTCCATTACTCCAACAAACAAGACGAAAATCACAAACTTAACTATGGCAACTCCACATGACAGCCCATTTCGAGAATCTGTAATGCTGCAAGTAGGACATGCAGAGATCTGAATCTAGAGTTACCGACTCAATGAAGTCGATGCCCTACAATGAGTCCCCCTCCCCCAAAACAAAAAAACAAAAAAACTTAACATAAAACGACAACAGATTTCCAATTTTCAACATACGCCTTGAAGACTCGAACATTACCCGAGTATTTTGATTTCTTGGGATCCTTGTTGACAACAGCGATGGTAAATTGCGCAAAGTGACTCCAGCCTGCATTTAGTGACGAGTCCGCCACGAAGTTACTGTACCACAAAACATTGTGCCCCAGCCTATGTAGAAACAAATGCATAGTTCTAACCCTGCTACAATTTCACGTAGAAATGCGATGCAAGACAGCACTGACATGAGAAACTGGATGAAAGAAAACAGACTTCTAGGAATACCCAAATGCGAAGTTTACGAATCTGAACTATACCAGGCAATAGCTTGTCGTAGTCTGCAACACACAGAAATAGGGACAGATGATTGCAAACATCGCATCCTTGAGGATACACCAGAATGTACCTGTGAAAATGCGCCAACTGAACCTCTTTACAAATTGACTCCAGTCACTCTAGGAGGAGCTTCAACCTCTCTAACCACTCTAATTGTGTAAAATCAAATAAACTTGGCACATGATGTGGAGCTACTGAACACTTATCCTGCAAATAAAAACGAGAAATAACTCAAACTAGAGTAGTATAATCTACAATGTAGCACTCGGAGTTAGTTGACCCTGACAACAGTATAACCAGGCTGAAGACACAGAAGCCTGCTTTCAATCTGTGAAGCTGAGGCTATCGTGCCAAGAGCACAGTTTCCACCATTCTCACGTACAGGCACCCACTCACCGCTTAAAACTACGTGTAAACCCACCCCCTAAAGTCCCTGTGCTCAAGTTCCAGAGAGGGAAAAACGATCACCCCGAATTGAAAAAACTCAGGAGAGCATGCCTGGGATGACACCGTCAGCGTCTAAAAGCTACCATTCCAACTTACGTTGCAGAAGGACCAAACGAAGCAGGGCCAACACTTAAGGTGCACACCCACTCACAACATCTCTCACAGCCCCTACCATTGCGTTGCTGCAGTAAGTCCTCAAATCTTTGCGACAAAGTCGAGGCAAAACAACAAGAACCTCACCACTTGTAGCCACCAACTTCGAAGACATTGCTGCGCAGCTCTCGCTTGCTGATCTCTGAAAAATTTTCTATTTTCCAGGTGAACTTGCCATACAGGTCTGTGGGCTTGGGTCCTGAATTTGCAAAGCTAATAACGTCAGAAAACAATCATCAGAATCATCACGATTGGAAGGTAATAACGATGGCCAAATTTGTATGCTCAACCTGGGGGGCGGAGTATTCCCTCCACGGAAGCATCCCCAACAACGAGGGGTCTAGATGTTTTTTACCATAAATACACATATGAACATTCGCACTCAACGTGTACATGGACAAATAATGACACGACCAGATTGGGCCCCAGCTACCGAGGGCACAATCAAGGACCTAATCTAATTCTATCTCGTTGAACATCGAAAACAAAGCAATTTCAACGACGGACAGAGCATTTTATCGCTCGACTGGAATGCTCCTGCACCGGACACAACATGACACTAATCGACACAGTGGGCAGGTCCATGAAGTCGACGCCCACATGCAACCAATTGCTCCCAACTAAAACTCAAAGCGCCCACAATACACAAACCACGAACTCGAAACTGAAAACCGTAATTGCTGCAACTGAGACAACTACACCAAGAAACAGTAAACGTCACAGCAACGTGTCATCAGAGCACACACAAAAAACAAAGACATCGGAATTAGCAGCACGCGACCTTTCACATTGCAAAACATTCCACGGCCTCGATCAATTTCGTGCCCTGATAAGACTGTGCACCGATTCACTCAACGAATGACCCTCCAAAGGGCATAGAAAAACGCTGAAAAAGCCATCGAGAACAGTGGCAACCAGTGTCACTGGCAAAGCAGATCGCAAAGAAAGCTTCGTCCTGTTTCTAATTACGACCGTGCTTGCAAGTAAAATCTCGTTCTTGTGCATAGAGGCCACAGACCGTGCATTCATTGCCAAAATCGTTCACGGGCACATTGAGAGTTGCAAGAAGAGAGAGCGACACGTAAAATTTTGCAACATAGCCCGCCCGATGCCCAGTGCCAGCACTCGTCACGGTGGTGCAGGTGAAAATCACCTCAGCATGACAATGTCATGTCCAGATGCAACGGAGTGGTCGAAGCAAGCATGAACATGCCTGCTAGAAGAGGATTAGTGCTTATTCATACATTCCTTCCGTCAAAACATCGACGGCACTTCTCACCACGCCTCCCTTAAGAGAACACCGTGCCACCTGCCCTAACGTCTGCTGTAACGACCCGCACATTCGCCAAACCCTACAAGGAGCACGCGGGCTCTGCTGCGTGGAAACCTAGACCTAATATGCCATCTCGATGCTTGGGCCATGCGCGGTCACGAACCGCGGCCGCAATTCCAAATGACAGAACTCCTTCATCGACAACACACAGTATCCAAAAAATGAGGCGGCTCGGTGGGTACCAGTCATGCACGACGAATTGGAATCGTCATCCTCATCAGTATCCCAATAGGCAGGCGATGTCGAGGGTGGTGAGGGCTCCAGCTGCTCCCGCGAGCGCCATTCCGGAGGTAGATCCATCATCGGATGCAGCTTCGACGCGGCTGCATCGGCAGACGGCACGCTCCCTCCCAACGACTCTCCTCTCGAATGGCATGCCATCGCGCCCGCACTCAAGCAGGCTGTGACTCTATTCCCTCTCGCTGCCTTGCAACCCGACGTGCACGAACCACTCGCTCTCAAACCTCTCGCCTTGCACCCACCCCGCAGGGGCACCCTAAATTACGCCCGTCCCGTCCCTCAACGTCCCCTCTCTCTTCCACCATCCTCTCAATGGCCCCGACTCAAAATAATCCGGACCCCCGTGGTGCTACACCTCAATTCTGCACTCCAAAAAGCACCGACGTCGCACTCGGAAACCCTACAAACTGCGCCACAAATACGCATCTGCCGGCCGAAACAGCGCGGGAGGGAGGGGGAAACGAGCAGCAGGGTCGCACGCCGCCAGCAGGCTAATCGGACAATCCAGCGCGGAGTTGGCGGCAATGGAGATGCAGGGGGGCGAGTAGGGGAGACAGGAAGGGGACGGAGTGGGAGGGAGGAGAGGGGAAGAAATCCCCAACGGTGGGAGGGGAGGGGCTGTAACAACAAAAGACAAGGACGGGGCCAAGGCAGGCAGGCAGGCAGGCACGAAGGAAGGAACGAAGGGAAGGAAAGGGGAAGGGGGGGTCGCTGGTCGTCGACGACGAGGGGCATCGGTTGACATCATAACCAACGTGGGGCCGCCCCACTCCCCCCTCTCGCTCTCTCTTGCCTCTCTCTCTCTCGTCTTCTTCGTGTTTCTTACTTTGTCTCCGTCTCCGTGCTGCTTTCAATCATACTCTCTTTCTCTTCTGTATGCTTCATCCTTCAACCCATGGCGGGAGAAGCACCAGCCCCATCTTGGTTTTCACTGCACTGATTCCACCTGCTGCAATGCAATGCTCCCTCCCTCTCCCTCACTCACACCAGCACCTCCACACATTCACTCTCATCCATCCTTTCCCACACTTTAATCTTCCTAATTCAATTTGTACCATTCAACTCCCGTACCCTTCCTTCCTTCAACCCAAGTTCTCACTATACTACTCAAGTTACTTACCACAATTTTGTTATTTTTTTCTTTTTCAATCCAAATGTTTTTATTTTATTTATTTATTTATTTTTTGTTTTGTTTGTTGTAGTAGTAGCATGCCTACTTTCACACCTCTTTGTTAGTCTACTTTGCATCAAAACACTAAATACAACTATCATGTGTCATATGAAACAATGCAAGATCAAAGAAATCATGGCTTTGACACCTCTTTGTTAGTCTACTTTGTATCATAACACTAAACACAACTATTCATGTGTCATACAAAATATTGCAAGGTCAAATAAAATTGTGGCTTTTGTAAAAGTTTGTAAAAACTTTAAAGTTTTAGTGGGTGATTTTCTACATACTCTTAAAGAAATAGAAATAGAAGTCCATGAAAGAATGCAAATGTACTTAGATGATAGAACATTTCAAATTTGTTTTTACTCAAGTATTACAACAAATACCATTGTTCTTCCACATTATTGCTAAGTATTGCAAAAGTGTTCAAATATTTTTATTCTATGATGATTTGCAAGGATAATTTGTTTTTTTTTTTTTTATTATTTTTTTTATCAATAATTCTTAATTAATTGGTGGCATGAAAATGTTTCTACTACTTACAAATAGGTTCAAAAGTATTTAAATAACTCGACAATTGATCAAATTCTAATCAAGTTGTTACAACCTCAATTTCATGTATATATTTTTAGGTGTATTTTTTGGAATCTTTGGAGTACATTTATCCATTGAATGGGTGTAAAATTTGTGAGTGTTTTAACATAATATTGTATTTTTTGATTTGTTTCAGTATTCATATGTGTTTGTTATTGATTGTTAATATTCATTATGATTTGGTAGTTTTTTTTTAAGTGTTTTATGAATTTTGTTAAAAATAGCATTGTCTTATTTTAAATATTCATAAAAAACTAATTTATGATAACACTGTTTTTTTGGGTCATACTGGTTAATTTTTGATGTGAAATATTAATCCCAAAATGGCACTTTCGTTGTTATCTCAGGTTGGCTGTGAAGGATTGTGTTGTTTTTTTATTTTCTTGGATGTATGACAAAGATTCTTATGGATTATCAATATTCAAATGTATGTTGTTTATGTTTATTTTCTTAATTTTACACTCTTTTTCCCCAGCATGATATGTTATTGGTTATCCATAACTTTTTAATTTAGTTTAATCCTTTACTCAGTAAGCTGTATGAATTAAATCGTTTGTCAAAATTTGAAGATCATCTTTCCAATTTTAATATGCTGTACTAACAGTGTAATACCATTTGTCAAATATTATTTAAAGGTCTAGTGCTTGGAATCACTTTTAAATTTCTGGATTTTTATTTTATTGTTTCAAATTTAGAATATTTTTCTAAATACATTTTGACAAATCAAATATATAGATAAGTAATATGTTGTTCTTTTCTTGATCTCGAGTGTCAACATATATACTCTAAGTTTTTGTAAACAGGTGGTTTAATGAACAGTATAGATAGAAACATATATCATAATTACAGATTTGTTTCACTTTTTTTTAATATCAGAATTCAGCGAGGTTTTTATTTTTATTTATCCTAAATGTGTATTTGACTTCCCTTAAATTATAATGTTCAATATGTGAATAGTTCTTCAACAGTTATACTAATTAACCTCTTCGTTGTTATTTACCTGGAATGACAGGCTATAGATATACGAGTTAACCACGTACTTGAAACAACATGACGTGAAATTAGCACATGATAGGCAACACTCAAGAAGAACCTTTAGTGATGAAGGTATCCAACATTTCTTCAACATATTTTCAGAAAAGAAAAAAATGCATGTTCGGAATGAAGATTATGAAAATTGACTTCTATATGTATGCTCAACAAGACCCAACGTATGTTTATGATTTCAAGGAGAGTCGGATGTACACACTGTGATAAGTAATGATTTAGGGAACACCGGTTCTTTAAAACTACCTTTAAGAGATTAGTAATAAATTTTAAATGATTGAATAAAAACTAAAAAAATTCATTCATATGCCAGTTACCCGCTCTCAGGGCACATTAGGCGTAAGAGTGAAGGTCTTCAAAATTTTGCAATGTAATAACCTATTAAGCGCCAAGTGCAGATGCGCCCAGGTCAACAGATGATTACCCCCTCTAAAAATAATTCAGATAACTTCATTGTGCTGTAACTCAAACGTAATATAAATTTAAGAAGCAATTGAAATCCAGCAGTGCCACTGAACTAATGAACTGATATTATCATATACCTAATGCCTGCAGTAATGTAAGATCCTTAAAACTGAAATGCTTAGACGACTATACTCATGGCAACTGATGCCAAGAGATTTCTCGGGCTAACAAGAATATGCAATTTGTGACATATGAACATCCACAAACAGATGTATCAAAAATAGTGTGTACAGTTCACCAGCTGATTACTGGTAGATTGAAGTATAAGATCCTTTGCAACATGATCTCCATTCCTTTTGACGTCATTTGACCAAAAAAATTAATGTAAGGTATTCTAGAAGGAAATGAAAGTACTGTTGTACATCAATTCAACAGATGCACGTCGTTAATGTTCACTTAGCTTCACCATCTTGTTTGATTTGACCAGCAGGACCAGCAGGTTGCATAAGCGTGGAGAGCCCTTGACCAAAAGATCTCCATAATCGGGACTGAAAGGAAGTACCTTCTGTAATGGTTGGAGTGGCACCCTCTGGTGTCAGCTCCACTGAAACAGCAGCTGCAAGGTCCAATTTTTTAAGTCTTATAGTGCCCAAAATTTGCTCTGGGAGCTCACTCTCCATCTGTCCTTCCAGAAGGAAAGCCAGGTCGACGGTGAGGGTAGTAATGTACCCAATGGCAAGATGCACAATTGCGTTCGCAACAATAGATGATCCAATATCCACGTCAACCTCTATGAAATTGGATCCTTGCAAGTATCTGCAATGAGGCACAACAAAGAACCCAACTCTTCCTTAATCTCAGACCTCGAAAGATCCAAAACAATTTTATAAAAATCACATTTCCACCTATGTGACAAATCAACTGGAACGGACTGCAAACACAGATATCCTCACCAAGTTGTTCAAACTTACAACCCTCGAGGTAACAACCCCGTAGAAAGGGATGCCTAGTTGGAAAACCTAAACTAGCCATCAAAGTTTACAACGCCATCAGCGTTTACAATATTATTGAACAATTCTACCAAAACCTGACTAGGCCAGTTTGCAAACAAAAGAAAGTCTAAATAACTGAAGAACATCAAAAGAAAACCCCAGTACATCAATCCGGAACCAAGGTAACTTGCAATAGGATTCCACTCTGAACGAATCCAAACAGAACCAAATGAAATGAGTGACCATCCATGAACAACAACAGTGTACAGGCAACCACAATAACGGATAGAAACCGTTGGAAATCTTGGTGTATATGAATGTGACCTGCAAGTGAGGGATCTGCCAAGAATGCAAATAGCCTGCTCTCCAACTGCTGTTTTAACAATCCACGGCCCTTCAGATATATTTGCTATAAGCTTCAAGCGGTTGTTCTTAAATACATCGTCTCCCTTCAAGAAGCGGTCCCACACAGATCCCTCCTCAAACTCATTGAATGTTACAAAGTATGAAACTACACTGTAGTGCTCCTTGCTTGGGATCTGAAATAACAGCAGTTGGCTTAAAACTCGCTCTCTGACTGATATAATATCACTATCCGACCAAGATCTCAACCAGAAACATCAAGGATACTTGAATAAACGTTCTTGAAGAAACTTCTCAAACGATCATGAAGGGCAATTTAAGCCGTAGAAGGTCTTACAGACGCTAACATATAACGTGTTCTTAGGACCATCGTATGGTTCAAATATTTGGATCTTCAATACACACAATTGGAGTAAGGTTAATCTCTTTTGAAATCTCTTATAACAAGGGAACTCCTAAACACCAGCACTTGCTTCCGAATAGGAAATACGCTAATGATTGCAGCATGACATAAAATCTACTATGATCTCTGAATGCTCCGGAGGAAAAAGAACGCCTTAGTTCCCAGGAAAATCAAATGAAGTTAGAAGAAGATTCCAAATTGTCTGACAACAGATCATTAGAATAAATTCGCCTTCGAAATTTACTTATTCGACTGCCATCCAAAAACGAAGTAGGAACCACTGACCTGGAGATTAAAGGCCCACACAAAAGGCTTCTGGGCACAAGCCTTCTGTGCTCGATCTAAAGCCAATCTGACCCTGTTGGTGGATTGTTGCATAACACAATCGATTCTGGAACTGCTCTTCAACCAGTCCAATGCCAGGGGCCGAAGTAAACACTCACCTCCAGGAATTTTTACTCTGTCTGCCAAGTACTGAGGGCCCCGTACAGTGAAAAATCCTCCTGGAATAGAAGTCCATCCTGTGCTACCATCACTAATATCAACGTAAGACAATGAGCCCCCTTCCTGGAGCTGTGCCGTCCATTCTAAGCTCTGTGTCTTTTCTTCAGCTTGAGCATTGTTTTCACTTTGCTCCATAATTGAATTCCTTGCTGTGACCAGGAGTTCTTATCAACAAATTACTTGCAGATCTCTCGGTATTAGCGAAGGATTGTAGCTCCACCCAAAGTAGGAGTAAGTCTTCAAAAACGCATGGAGCGACTTTCACGGCAACCTTCCAGGAGAAACCACCTTCAAACGTACGATCGGAAAAATATGGAACCTGACACAACTAGTTCACCCGCAATACACTCAACCTCTGGCCTTGGTCCTCAACAATCCTGCAAAGCCCTTTCACGCCTTTTCAATCCATGACTTTCCCCGCGTCATGATCCAACAGCAAACCTCGACCAGCGTTGGTAAAATCAAACAAATCGCCAAACACCTCACGAACTAAAAATCATTCTCAAGCTCCACCAACTCCAGATCATCAAATGACGCGTCAATCAACCCTACGTGCTTAAATTCCACGCTCCTCCAAATAAGCTCCAACTCAACACCCTCGAATCCCCTAATGGAACAAACCACCTGACATCGAATCGAAGCCAGAAGACTCCAAAGCCTCTCTCTCTCTCACTCTCTCTCACTCTCTATCTCGGACTATCTCGCTACTAATCAACTCCCTGATCAGATTGCCAAAGCGTCATCCTCAACCCTAAACTAATCCTTAGAATACACACAATGAAATCCAAGGGAAAAGAATGGCCACGTGGGGCAGGACCCCGCCAGCAGAAGCTCTGACAATGAGGAGATCTCACTCAGAACAGATCAGCGAGGCTGCGATGCGATGGCCGCAATGGCTGCAAGACAAGCGCATTCGTCGAAACGGGGGCAGGCATCCCAGATATCCATCCCACGCCCCTACGCAACACCTCCACCTCGTTGGAGGTGCGAGACGGTCGAAACGCCGGGTCCTACCCGGGGTTTGGCCCCTCCCGCCCTCTCTCGTTCCCAATTGGGCTGCAACTTACCCTCCGGGTTCCATCCCGGCCTTCCGTTTCCTTCGGTGGAGATCAAAGCCTAAATCGCTCTCAGCAACGCTTCAAAAAATCACTTGCAACCCTCCTGAAGTAAATAATTTGAGCTTGTAATCGTATATATCCTTGTTTTGAAAGTGTTGAAAAATAGGAAAGACGCTAAGAAAAACATGTGACGACATAAGAATTACAACGATGACAACAACGATAACAATAATATTAGTTGATTGAGAAACATTTTTGTGATCTATTTGAAATATACATATATAAATAAATAAATAAATAATTTCTTGTTATTTTTGTAACAGAATTCCATTATTGCATGCAGCAATGAAAAAATATATAAAAATGATATGATTGCTTAATAATTACTTTTAGGAATTAAATTGGATTAAAATATTTTAACTAGTATTTACCATTTTTCAGTTAATCTGATATTCTAATAGTAACTCTATTTTTTAAAGATGATAAAGTTCTTTTCATCCATCAAATTCCAAATACAATAGGTTTTGATACATTTAAAATATATAAATTATTCAATAACTAAACATTAATTAAACATACAATTTTCTATTTTTATTGTAAAATTTTACATCTTTTAGAAAAATAAAAACAATATATGTTTTGAGACATATATATATATATATATATATGTGTGTGTGTCTCAAAACATATCTATATATATATATATATATATATATATGTCTTTTTTCTTTTTTCTTTTTTCTTTTTTTAAATACATATAAATAAATTAATTTTATAATTTTATAATTTATCAAAATCTTTTATGTTTAGAACTTCTATTTTTCTAAAATAATATTAGTTTTCAAAAAGAATTTACATTATAACAATTTGATGGGCTTATTATATATTATAAATATTATACAAAAGTTGCTATAAGTACACTTCAAATTGCTATACACACACCTAAGGCTTCTTCAAATTAGCTGCTTTGTAACCTATTCTTTTGAATTCTATTGTGAATTACAAACCTACTTTTGTACTTTCTAGTCCTAGCATAAGTTCCAGATTTCCTTCATTTCTTCCTTGTCTTGGTGCAAGTCTTTACACCATTTCCAAACCCCCCCCCCCCCTCTCCCCCCCAATTCTCAATCTTAACATTGTCCCATGACCATGTCCCTAATCCCAACGTTGTTCCTAGTGCTCTCCCTAATCTAAGCACAAGTCCTAATTCAAGCATTGTTCTAAAGCCTTGTCCAAGTCTTACTCCTTAATTCTGCAATATCAATTTTTTGAGTTTTAAATTTTTTAAATTTTTCTTAGTTATAATTAGATCTAACATGTGTATGGTTTGAAATAAAAATATTATTGCCAAATAAGATAAAACAAAATGTAGATTAAAAGACAAAAGAAAAAGAAGAAGAAAAAAATCAAACCAAACTGAAATAATCTTGTATGTTTTTTACAATCTATTATTTAAAAAATCTTTTATTTTATTATACTTTGTGGTGACATGAATTGATAGAAATAAATTCACTCTTAATTTGTGATAATTTACAATCTTTATGGAAAAAATTCAATTTTTTAAAAATAACACAATTGAGTATTAATTAAATAATTTGAATTTAACTTAAAATAGACTTAAGGTTGTAGTTTTGCAAGATGCATAATATTTTTAAATTCTATAAATAAAACACTTATTGTGTAGATGTGGTTGTTAATTAGAATAAAAATATATTATATGTTCATGATAATCATCTTTAATTCAGATCATAGAGGTAGATAAGAATATCAAACTACAAAAATAATATCTTAGGAAAGTAATTTAGTTATAATATTTGCACATATTGTTCATTATTGGTATTCAATTACTACTAGCTAAATTGTAAAATTATTCATGGTCTTAATGTGAGACATTATAATTGGACTATTAATATACAAAGATTTATAACAATTTAATTTGTTTTATTTTAAATATAATTAAAATTTTACAAACATATATATATATATATATATATACACACACTTATATATTTATATCTAAAATTAGGGTGTCAATTTTACAATAGTTCAACCTATTAATAGACTTAAATAAATGAAAAATGTTTAAATTAATAGATATCAAATGTTTTAGATTAAATGTATTTATATTTTTGTGATTAAAATTTGATCTGTATTAAGTTTGGTGAACAAAAAGAACACATGAATCAAGGTCTATTTCAAACTATAATAATTCTCATAGAACATCCATTAATCATGCAGAAAATCACACAAGAATACCCTTAAATTTTTAAAACGATTCTTGATCCTACTTTCTAAACTTAATTGACAAGGTTACATTGATACAATTTTTTCAACTAAAGTCTTTGCATATCTATTCTAAAAAAGTGCATAATTTATATTTTGAATCTAAACCGTTTTCTGAAAAATCCCTATATGTTTCCAATACATATTTTGTTTATTCTTTCAAAGGCAATAATAAAGGGTGACATTAAAGATTGGTTTTAGAGGGTATTGAACTTTGCTTCATTTACATTTAAGAATCGAAATTGATTACAAGTTTCACATTTCACGTGTCGCATATTTGTTCCATTTTTTCGACCCACCAACCTCTATTGCTGATTATTGTTTCGATTTGTAATTTTTGTAATTCTTGTTATTTTGTTGTGTTTGCAGATCCCTATACCAAAATGTAAATACAATTTCAAAGGTAGATTCGCCACAAGAAGAAAAGTGTTGGCTAATCAAGCTCAGTATTCTTCCTCGTCGTCGTCTTCTTCGCCGTCACCAGCTTCGTCGCCCACGCCTTCTTCTTCATCTTGAGGTGGTGGTGGGTCTGGTTTGGGAGGAAGATCAGTGGCCTCGACCATTTGTTTGCGGTACTCTTTCTGCACCGGAGGCGGCATGGATGGCTTGAACGGCTCATTCTTAACTCCATAGCCTACATACACGTTGCTGAAGCTCGTAGGGGTGGCAACGCAGTAAGCGCCTGGCCATAGATGTGATCGAAGGCATACCACCTGGTGTTTCAGGCCTTTGATGCTTGAGCTCTTGCATATCGACCAAGCTTTGACACCTTCCATGCCGAGGAGATCTTTGTCTTCGGAGATTGGCCTCAGTGGACCAGGCTGTTCTTCCTCCTGTGGCACCTCCTCCTGCTCCGCCTCCTCCTCCTCTTCCTCATCTTGCGCTTCTTCATCATCCTCACCTTCCTCGCCCTCGACTGCTTCCTCTCCGTCGGCCTCTAGCTGATCCTCACCTTCGGATTCCGGCTCCTCGTACTTGGTGGATCTTCCTTGCTTTGAAATCATGGCGTTCTTGTGCACCCACTCCTCCAGAGCCACCAATTGTTCCGTAGGCGGCATGGTAAAATCTTCAGCTGGTGTGACAGTTTGTTCGCCCCCGTCATCCTCCGAAGCCTGCGCCCTTCAACTAATTACGAGGGTTTTTTCCAAAAGAAACTATAGGATTAAAATAGCAAAGTGTTGCCTGTGACGCTGTGCATGCTGGAGATGATGGTGCTCGGGGCATAACTCTCACCGAGTAAAACCCAGCAGGAGCGATTTGCGTTGCATGTGCGATCCTTGCGATTTGGGCTCGTAGATAGTTCAGTTCGATTCCAGGAAAGGGCGGATATCCTGACACTTCTGCCTGCATCAATGAGGGGGTATCTGAGCTATGTTCAAAGTCAGGTTGGATTCATGTCTATAAATAAGTGTTGACGAAGGTTGCTTCAAGTGAGCAGAGTAACTGGTTTTGTCATGGTGTGTTGTACCTCCGGGTCGCCAGTCAGATATTTCTTTAATTGTCTCGCTGTTTTGACCTGTAATGGTGTCACTGGAGGCAGCTTCTGACATGCATCCCCTGGTCTGTGGCAATACCAGTATACCATTGCGTTAGTACCTACTCCTTCCTCCAGTGGGATGCCATCTACGGGACGGCCCCAATTTTTGGACTTCTTTGGCTTCTCTTCCCCTTCTTGTCCTTCTTCACCTTCCTCGACATCTTCCTCCTCTACATCACCATTTGCTCCCTCTTTCAGAGTGCTCTCAAACACATAGTAGTTGCTGCCATCCCAGTCACCAAGTTATCGTTCATGGAAATCCATTTACAGGGGAGTTTTGCATGTAAACCAGCGCAAAATGTTTGCATATCATTGGAGAACAGGGAAACAACGTAGACTTGTCTTGATTGTTGGTTTTACTTGGAGATGCCAAGAAATTTGCCGAAAAAGCGGACTGTTTCAATGCCGAATGTTGGATCATCTCCCAGTTGCTTCAAAGCCAGAATGACGAGGTATGTGTCTAATCGCCCAATTCCGCAGCCACAGGCGTCGAAGAAAACACTGTCCATCAGCATGTTTTGTGCTTCAAACTCGTTTACTGGTGGTTCTTCGGGTTCCTCCGGAGGATCATCCTCCTCTTCTCCTTCGTCCTCATTCTTCGGTTCTTCCTTCACTGCAGGTTCCGGCTCTTTCTGACTTTTGTTGACATTTTCAGTAAAATGAAACAAACAACTTTGTTCAATTGTATGGATGTAGTTTTCCTTCGAAAATATTTGACCATAGGATAGACTTAATCTGACGCCCTAATAACCACTATGTCGATTGACGAAAATGGATTCCAACTGAATACCAGAAGAGGGAAAAAAATTGCTTGACAGGTTTCACGTCCGAGGGATCTCGTCCCCTTTTGACCGGCTTGTCCCCTTCATGCGACACGAATCGCGTTTTTTTAAGAAGGAAGCTTGATTCGAGGATGTCCACAGCGTTCTTCGCCTTCGCTTGTAAAACCTGCACACACCCAAACTCTAAATTAAGCATCACGACACAAAAATCTTGGCTTCCGTGATGCATGATCTGATAATTGACAGAAAACCTCTGCAGACACGTAAAATTCCGACAGAAAAAAAAACTACTCAGAATGTTTCGCAAGTCTGCATCGTTTGGAGTAGCGTAGAATGTCGCGAATGTGCTTACAGTGCGCACAATCTCAGAGATGTGCGTGAATGCGTCATCTCCGGTGCTGGTGCTGATGGTTTTCAAGTAAGCCAAGGCGTCTTCCACTGTCATGCCCGCCATTGTACTATTCCACACTTAGATCGTTTTCACTCCAGCATTGTGTCCTCACGCGCCGTTGTCGGCAAAAATTACTCGCAAGCGAAACCTCCGCATCGTACAACCATCGCTCATGTATCTCAAGGGTGGACAGATAATTGGAAATGGTGGTGCCGTAACAAGGGCGAAGCTGACGACGCTGGAAGACAGCGAAATTAGGGCTTGCTCCGTTGGGCAAGGAGTAAGGGGGCCCTTAGTAGTTGTAAAATTAGGTCCAATTCCTGGATTTCAGTTGACTACCCACTACACCAATATTTGGGGACAAACATATTCTCAAACGAATTTCTATTATAGTTCAACACAAGTCACTACAACCAACAATGAGTCCTCATGGATTAGAAGGGGACTTGCAAAGAAAAAGTGATGGCGATAATAATGTATTCTCATCCATGAATTGACGTAATAGGATGTCATTCATATATGTGAGTGCTTTTCCAAAAAACCAAAAGTATGCAAAGTAACAATAATCATCTTCATCATTTCTTGATTGTTTCATTAAATTTCGAATGTTTGAATATTATATATTTGTATTTAATTATTCTGATATTTTTTAAAAATCTAATAAAGGTCATAATATGTAGATAGTAATTTTGATTGTATGAGCTTTTGACATATATTTGTTAAAAATTTAGTGTCTACTCTTAAAATCCATTGATTGGTTGAAGTGTAGGCAATGTCAAATTTTAGCCAATTATAAAATTATATTGATTGAATTGATGTTTTAGAAATAAAATTCAAGGGCATTTTAAAATGATTATTATGATTATCATCATTAATAAGGATTATGACACATAGAATTACATTTAAGATGGTTATTTGTTATAAAAATGAAGTGACATGCCTTGCTATAGAGATCAAAGACCATGGTAATCTCTTCCTTTCAATGTTGCATATTTGCATGGTGGAAACATAGCAGGAATTTTTATTGCATTAACTGCTTCATGAGCCTTCTTATGCTTAATTGTCCATAAATTGCTCTTGTTTTTAGAATTTGTAGCTCTTATTTAAATCCTAATGAAATCACTCCTTATTCTTCTTAAATCACCAAAGTAATCAAGCCCAACCTCTACCATTAACTCACACTTACAATAGTAAATCACTCACAAAATGCATGCCCAAAGAAATTTCTTTTCTTGATTTTTAATTTAATTTATTTTTTTGTTTGGTAATTGTTCCCCTTCATAGTCACATCTATCACATCTACAAATTAAGGCACTGAACTCTACTATTAAGATTTGAAACACCAGCAAGCTCGCGCCTGCCTACCAGTTGCAGCACATCGATTGATATCAAGCAGTTCAGTAGCACTCGCCACCTCTACCTAATCACCCACTTGCAAAAAAAAATTAGTGAGGGTTGGCCCAACACACTGCACCCCCAGCTGCAAACCTTATTGTGGCAAAGTTCTCCGCCTCCGTTCCCTTCTACAGCAGAACCTCGACACGATCTTATGTCGGTAGGACCAGAACACAAGCAGTTGATCCCAACAATAAGGGAGTGAAGAAAAAAACAATGAACCACCTCTAGCTCCACAGTGCAGCACTGCACTATTGACAACAAAAAATAAAAACTCCCAACTCGAAAATCGCACATTAAAGCAAGAGAGAATTTGACGATACTTGCCGAGTATCTCAATGAACCACGAGACCGCCATCGACCTATCACTCCATGCTACAAACTCAAGTCTTGGTGCATCACCATTGACGGTGACCGCTAGCTCGATCAGCTTAGACCCACGAGAATCTTGAATTCAGTTGCAATGATGATCCAAAACAAAACAAAAAGAAACCTGGCAACGACTGCACCGCAACTTCAAGCGTCGCTGCCACCTAGAGAAGATACCCACTCAATGACGCAACAACCCACATCGTAGGGACCAGGCTGGATAAAGGAAAAAGAAAACGAAGGAGGAATCTAACCAATCTGTCGCAATGCTACCAACGAGCGATAACAATCCCGACCACTAGGACACCATGCGGATACCACCAACCGTAGAATCAGGAAGAACCAAGTGCTAAATCCAGGACCGCTTATTGCCGCGTAATAATGTGAGCAAGGAGATTAAGGCAATAACAGCAATACTCTCAAGTTGCTGCTTCCCCTAAGTCGGAACTTGCTCCAACTAGCACCGCAACTCCACTTGAAAGAGCTTCACGACTTGAAGCAGTCGCCAGAGACACAGCAACCAAGTTGCAACCAGAGAACTGCCATAGCACCTCATCGAGGCATAGAAAAAACCCAAAGAGAAGAGCTTCGTCGTTGGAGAAAAAACGAGCTCCGGAACTACCAACGCCTCTTGATTAAAGCAGCTCCACATACAAAATTTTCAACGGGGCCCAGAAGATACTCCGCAGCCACACACGTGGAAAATAAAAACACACATAGGAAGAAATCCGCAGGGATCAGAGTCCGAGACTTATCTCAAACAAAAAACAAGAAAAGAAGGTAGAAGGATCCGGGGTAGCTTAGACTCCTATTGACAAAGAGGCAGCCTCTTGCCTTTCCCTTCATCTTCTCTTTTTTCTTTTTCTTTTCATCTTATCCTTATACCTTCTCATCTTCTCATTTTTTCTTCTTTTCTCTTTTTGATTCTACAATATTTTTTCTTTGTCTACTCCTTTGATTTGCTTCTGATTTGTTTTTATATATATATATATATATATATATATCTATATTTTAAGAACTATTAATAAATAAAGTTTTTCTTTTCTTTTCTTTTGAATTGGTTTGAATCAACAATTCTGTCTTAGCTTCCTATCTTAATTAAGAATCCAGGACAACAAAGGTTATTCCTATTGGACCATCATTTGGTATTAGCTAACTTAAAGAAAAACATATTCAACTTAGAAATTTGTCTTAATAAAATTTATCCTAGGTTGCATATCTACTATTAAAAGTATTTTTTTTTTATTTATCTAAGAATTCTACTACTAACTTACAAAACTTGTGATTTTAAGCTTAAAAATTATATTTTTGTATTAAATATGTAAGTGAATCGATTTGATGAGTCACACAATAGAATGTGCCATTGAAATTGTGTATTAGTCTAAAAGAATATAACAAGAAAAGATATTGTGTGCTAATAATAAAGTTAGTGGTAATGCAAAGATAGCAACAATAGATTGAGCTTATTATTAATTGTGATCCTTTGACATGTTGGCATTAGTGGACTTTTAAAAATGTTGCCTTCTTCAATATTTGGTGTGGACTTTATGTTTATTTAAAGGCATTTGTATAAGCAGTTTTTATGATAAAAACAATAGAAGGAACAAACTAAAATTGAGATGTAAATATACAATTAGAAAAAACATGTGCAATTAATAATAGGAGATGCAAATTGTAACAAGTGCAATATTTTGCTATAAAACAATTATGATTGTAGCATAGAAAGATGAGCGGCTAAAATGCAAATCAAAGATAAAAGAAAAAATAAGGAAGAAATGAGATTAAAAAGGAAAAGAAGGCAATATCATAGTAAATAATTTAGAAATAAGATTAATAATATCAATTCCAATTCAGGTGGAAAAAAATTGTAGGAAAAAAACCTGTCTTGTATTAATAACATATGAGTGTATTACTTTTAAAATTTTGCTTAGATTTATATCCTTGACACTTTGCTAAGAAAAAATAACTTAATATATATTTATTAATTTAAAAGAATAGTTGAAGAACCATCTCAATTATGTGAATTATTTTTACAAGATTTTCAAGCACTTACAAGAACAACTTAATGTAGGAAGTTTTCAATGTAATAAAATTTTAAAAAAGAAATGAATTTTTTAGTAGAAAATTTTATTGACATAATTGAAAAAATTAAGACTTTATAATTAGAAAAGTAAATAGAAGGTACAATTCAACAAGAAAAAAATAATTATAAGCAATAAAAATATCTAAGAATTAAATTTAAATTTTTTGAATAATAAAGATTCATATAAAAATTATATAATTTCTTTGAAGTGGTGATTAAGAAGAATAATGAGAAATATTGTTGAAAATCCAAGAATGATGGTTGGAGTTGCAAAAAAAACTATAAAAAACACATTGGATAAGTATAGTGGTGAAATTGTAAAAAAATGGCTTGATAAAAAATCTAATAATGCATACATGAACTACATTAGATAAATACTATTAGAACTAAGTACTTGGTTAAAAATTTGAAATATTTGGGAGAACAATACAAAGAAGCACTTAGCAAATTAAAAACTTGAAAGAAAATATAAATACTAAAAGTTTTTTAAGCCAACTTTGAAGGATTGTTTAATAAATTTGTTTAGATTGTCTCATATGATTAATTTTTTATAAAAAATATTCATATAAAATTCTATATATATATATATATATATTAAATTTTTTATTAGTATTACAAGTATTAACTATTTATATAAGGTTGTGTACAAAGGCCTTGAATAAGATGCAATTATATCAAGGATATAATTATGAAAAAACTATAAAAAAATAATACACTTTTGTATTGCTAAAAGGGAGAAAAAGAAAAGAAAAAGAAACATATATAAGGAGAGAGAAGAAAAATAAAAATAAATAAATAAAAAACAAATTAGAATGACGCATGCCTACGAAAAGAATCTAGAGAGACTTGAATCAAGATTGGAGTATAAGAAAGGTCTTAATTAGATTAAAAATGATGTCAATCTTACCTTCATATATACAAGCTACTAAAAAGGTCTTAAAAATGCTTCTTTAGAATTCCAAGGCTTGTAGTTAAAGCATCAAATTTTAGGTTGCTTCCAACACAACTTTTGTAGAGAAAGAAACTTATAGGACAAATTTCAACACCTATATGGGATGTCAATAAAAGCCTAAATATCTAATATGTATCTATAAATCTTCTATAGAGTTTTTTAAAGAAGATGTTATCTACCTAACATATTTCTACCTATTTCTAATTAATCTTATTTACCATTTTTATTTTGATTAAACTGCCACGGGCATATATATTTACCTCAATAGTTACTTATATAATTAAGTAGAAGTAGATAAAATAAAATAATTTCATAAAGTCTTCTAGAAAAGCTTCCTAGAAGCTTCATAGACATGGTTTTGACTTTAGATGTGTTTGTAGGTTAGA